CTATTAGCCTTTGCCCTGCTTCATTCTGTACTCCAAGGCCAAATTTGCCTGTTACTCCAGGTGTTTCTTGACTTCCTACTTTTGCATTCCAGTCCCCTATAATGAAAAGGACATCTTTCTGGGGTGTTAGTTCTAAAAGGTCTTGTAGGTCTTCATAGCACCATTCAACTTCAGCTTCTTCAGTGTTACAGGTCGGAGCATAGGCTTGGATTACCGTGATATTGAATGGTTTGCCTTGGAAATGAACAGAGATCATTCTGTGGTTTTTGAGATCGCATCCAAGTACTGCATTTCGGACTCTTGTTGACTATGATGGCTACTCCACTTCTTCTAAGGGATTCCTGCCCACAGTAGTAGATATAACCCATTCCAGTCCATCTTAGCTTGCTGATTCCTAGAATGTCAATGTTCACTCATGTTCACTCTTGGAGTGGGATGGCTGCGACAGTGCAGAAGTGCGGCCGAGAGGAGCTACCCCACGTCCAAGGTAAGAGAATCCCAAGTAAGACAGTAGGTGCTGAGAGAGGGCATCAGAGGGCAGAGAGACTGAAACCACAGCCACAGAAAACTAGCCAATCTGATCACACGGATCACAGCCTTGTCTAATTCAGTGAAACTAAGCCATGCCGTGTGGGGCCACCCAAGACGGAGGGGTCATGGTGGACAGGTCTGACGGAATGTGATCTATTGGAGAAGGGAATGATGGCAAACCACTTCAGTATTCTTTCCTTGAGAACGCCATGAACAGTCTAAGATAAAATCACAAACCTAAAATAGTATTGTCTGCGATTCTCACACTTAAGCATAGGAAACACACGTCCAGTGCTCCCGTCTGATCAGAGCTGTGCTGCACAAGACGCCGTCTCCCCCTGCCTGCGGCCCCCTCCCCCTGCTGCTCGAGGCTAGGCCACATCACACCGCCACCAGCACTGAGTGCTCACGCGAGGACTGCCCTCTGTGCGCAGGGTCACCCCTGGCCTGAAGCGAGGCGCTCGTCTAATCAGAGCCACCCTTGGACCAATGTAGAGCCAGCAGGTGCAGATGAGATGAGAGAGGGAAGAAGGGCTGCACCCAAGCTCCGAGCTTACTGGGAGTCGCAGCCCAGGGCTCCGGACACAGGGACGCAGGCAGAAGAGGGAAGGGCCTGCAAGGGCTCAGGAGCTGCCGTCTCGTCAGCTTGCGAGGGGGGAAGGGGCAGGGCAGGAAGGGCTCAGGGCACGCTGAAGGCAGGCTCGAGGAGCAGCAGCAGGAGGCTGGGGCACTGGCTCCCAGGGCTGAGGGATGTCCTCCGCCAGTCTAAGCCCCTTGGTGGGCACCCTGACTCACCCCCTGGACTGGACCACTTTTCTCCAGTGCTTTTCCTTGTGATTCTGTCCTACCAAAATAACCACCAATCCTTTTCACATCCAACCCAGAAGGACCACACGTGAAACAGAACCAGACACGTGCACACGTCCCTAAGGTCAACTCCTTCCACACCCTTCAGCCACGTACTTCGCATCACAGGTGATCACGATCCGAGTTTCTCCCCCTGGAGGGATGAGCCCAGCGGGTTCGGACTCTGTCACCTGCTTCTGTGGTGTGTTCTCCTGCTTTAGTCCAGTTTCTCCATTACAGGCACAGTCACCTGGGAGATGAAATTTAAATTCAAAATTAGACCAAAGGTGAGCTGTTCTGACAGCGGTGGTGTTGATGGAAGGGTCTAGCACACACAGTGACCAACAGGCAAAAGTGCACAGGCAGCCTCTCCCCAGTTTAGAATCATTCAGAGGAAGTGGCTTGTCTGAAGCACACTGGGCAGTCTCCAGCTGTCAGCCCTGAGTTACCAGAGTAGGGTCCAGACCCCGCGCCAGCAGTGTCGCCACTGCCCCCACCAGCCCAGACCCGGGAGCAGCTGCACCAGCCCCTGGCCCGAAGGTGCCGGCGTCAGTGCGACGGCCACCTGAGGAGACTCCTCCGCTGTTCACCGAGCTGCCCCCCGGGGGCTGCCCGGCTGTGCTTCCCCCGCAGCGGCCTGGCGAGCTAATGCTTCCATCTGCAACACCCTTCTCCTCCGCAGGAACGCAAGCAGGAGGCGCTGCGGGGCCCAGTCGGGTCTTCTCCAGCGTCTGAAGCCGCAGCTGTCGAGCTTTATCCCAGCCACCCAGCTTGCAGCTGACCAAGTTTTGAGGAACATCTCCTTTATTCCTGGAAAAGGAAAATTAGCTGTGAACAGCGACAGGATTTTTAAAGTAAAACACTGTTACCATAAAACAGAATTCAATCTAACAAGAGAATGACAATTGAAAAGACTTCTAATTAAGTGAAAAGGCTACTTCAGAGCGAAAAATCTAGAAAGATAGACATAAAACGAAAAAAAAACAGGCAAAGTAAAGTTCACTCTACAGAAATTCTTCAATCACAGCTTAAAACCCAACTGTGTAATTCTATTTAAGTGGCAAACTTACTCTATACAGATCACCATATCTTTGCTTTCTCCTTCTTTCAGAGTTCCAAAATTTGTCATCCTTGTGACTTCAATGCCACCTTTGTTTTTGAGCAAAAGGGCTCCATAGGCCTCTTCAGCAGTCCCCGTGGCGGGAGAGGAGTCCCTGGAGAAAGCAACAGGACGCTGTCAGGTCAGCGGGCAGGGGTGTCTGGAGGCCCCGCCCTGCCAGGTGGCACCAACCGCAGGGGACGGGGGCATGGAGCCAAGCCCCATAGGAGACGTGGAAGGACACCCTGAGGACTTCTGGGCAGGACAGCAGGTCACCCTCATGAAGAAACCACAAGCCTGCTGACTCCAGAGGAGAGGAGGACCAGCAGTGATACCGAGGGTCTGAGAGCAGGCTGCCTTTGCCAGAGTGGCTCAGGGACCCAAGCCCACTGCACCCAGAAGAAAGAGCATTCAGTGCTCCTCCTCAGACCCTCCCCTCCCTCGGCTGGAGGGAGGCACTTGGCTTGTCAGGGACCCATTTCATTGGGAAAAAGAGTCTGGCTTCAGAGTATCTGAAACTAAAGGAGAATTTTTATCTTCAGAAAATGGGCAGACGCTGCCCTACCCTGCGGAAGGACTGTTCGTCCCCTCTGCTGACACGGCTGTGAAATGCAGGTGCTGCGTCCACCACTTACTCGCAGCTCCTTCCCATTCCTGACCCACCCCATGCCACTCACAAATGGGCTCCTTCACAACTGTCCCCGTCCACACACCAGTGACATCCTCGACCTCAGCCTGCCCACCCCCTCAGACCTGTTTCAGTCACACACCCTGTCCTGTCTTCTTTGCCTTGGCCACACAGCAGCCCTGCCGAGCCTCCCCCAGCCCAGCATGCTGTGGCAGTGGTCATCTGTCCTACAGCAGGCCCACCACCCAGGGGCTGAGAACTGGCTAACGGGCTCAACCCACCCAGAGCCGGGGGGAGGGCCTGGGACACCACCACAGGCTGGGCCTGGAGGAGCACAGGCCCTGCTGCACACACAGCACTGCTGCTGGCCTTTGGACCCTTAAGTGGGCAGAGGACAGTGGGTCTGAGGGCAGGGCAGCATCCTCGACTTGGGGCTAAAGCCTGAAGGCGGGACCAGCTCAGGAGGAGACAGGGTCAGGGCAGCGGCACAGGGCACAGTGCTTGGGGAGCACTTGCTGGGCTGTGGGCTCCCTGTGAGGAGAGCCGCTCCAGCCGCAGGGGGACATGCCTGTCATCACGCGCCCGGGACCAGGTACCCTCCCTGGATGGAGCAGAGGCCACTGCAGCCGGGGCCCAAAAGAGGCTTACCTGAAGCTTGCCACCCACAGCCAGGGAGCCCCTGCCCACGGCCCCACCCACTCCATTCAGCAGACGTTGAGTCCTCTGGAGACAGAGAGCTGCGGGGCAGGGTAAGGGAAGTGGGCGGAGAGGTAGGCAGGTGGAGCAGTAGGGACCCAGAGTCCTTCTGATGGACGCACTGGCCCTGAGGGTGTGCTGGCAGCTCTTTCTCCTGGATGGTCATCTGGGCCACTCCCGGCCCCCCCCACGGTCCGCCCATGCCCACAGCCAATAGGAACCCAGTTAACTGCGGCATAAAGAGGACGGTCATGGAATCATGTGTCTCAACGACCTGGGGTCTCCTGAGAGCGGCATGAGGTGCTGAGCAACCATGACGCCCATGTGGGCAGGGCCCCGGCTTCTGCTCCAGGCAGCTGGCGGCCAGCACGATCACGTGGCGGGGCGGTCCTCACACCCCTGGGCCCATCAGACAGGCTGAAGCCAGAACTCCTCAGCCTCTCTGCTGGTAGGGGCGAGCGCAATGTGTCTCACACACTTCACTGCTCCACAGATGGGCCGAGTCCTTCTCCAAAAGGGGAGCAAGCCCCACGGGGCAGGAGCACGTGCCCACCAGGTGGTCTGGATGCGGCAGGGCTGCCTGCATGTCCCCTGCTCTGCCCACACCTCATCCGCAGCACAGCTTCATGGCCAGGCCGGCAGCCCACTTCTCCTGAGACAGGCTCCCCGACCTGAGACTCACAGACCCTCCTCCCACATGTGACCTGCTCCTGTGGGACCACAGGACAAACAGGACTGCTGAGGAAGCCATGTGCGAGCGCCCTAACTGAGCACTAGGGAGAAAGAGCAGAGGCAGGCAGGACGCAGGGCAGTGCTGCTGCTCAAACCCGAGCTCAGGAATGCCTGCAGTGCTCATAAACAGGTGTCAGAGGTGGAGGTCACTGGGACACAGAGAGAAGAATACGGATACAGCAAATTCAGTAACTCTAAAAATCTGCCATGTGTAACACGTTCTGCAAAACACCAGTGTGTGAAAGAGTACAACTCACAAAACCCAAGAAAACATGAAGATCATCAACGTGAGGTCAGGCTCAAGGGGCCATTTTTCACTCAGCCTTCAGTCAACCATGAAGACCCCTCAGTGCCCAGGAGGTCTCCCTCCAGCCCCGCTGGCTCAGGGGATCCTGTTTTGTTGAAGCAACCCTCAGATGCACCCTGGGCCCGCTCCCGCCTCCTCACCACCTCTGCACTGGGGTCATGCACAGTGCCCTCCACACGTAGCAGGACTGGCTGCTCTCCACCACCACTGCGCTGACCACATCATGCCTGCGGGGCATGTAGCCTTCCGGAAGTTTCAGGGAGTCCAAGGTGAAGAAGATGCAATCATCGATCACCCCATTCTTCCCACAAAGGCTGGACACGCAGACCTGCAAGCAGAACACTGGGGCTGGCAGCACATGCACAGTGAGGCGGAAACCAGCGCCTGGAGGGTGGGACTGCTGTGGCCAGCGAGGCGTGGGCCTGGTCGCCGGTGAGAAGCAACGCCCTAGACGGCGCAGGCCAGGCAGAAGCCCGGAGCCGAGCAGCCCAGGGCAGGCTCCACCTCCGCTCGCGGACTCGATTCCCTCCTGTGCTCCAGCCCCGACCCCCCAGACCACGGCTCTGCGAGGAGCGCAGGCAGAGCCCACACCCGCTCTCTGCGTCCCGCCATCAGACACTTTACGCGGAGCACCCCTGTGACCTAGAATTGAAGTACGCCTGCATGCAGGCCGGCCTCCAGTCATCTTGGTAAGAAGTCAGGGTCTTCTCTGACTCTCACTTCACCTGACCTCTCAGTGCACCCAGGACCCACGGACACTCGAGGTCTGGTACCTACCCGGTCCACGCGCTTGTGCCTCAGCGGCTTCACCGAGATGGCCTCGCTGCTCCATGTGCCTGGCCGGATCCAGTACTCAGCCTCCACCCAGTCTCCCTTGCAGGGCTCGAAACCTCCAAGGCAGGGGAACCAGGCAAGTTACTTGGTGACATTGAAACATTGAAGTGTATAAGAGACTCTGAAGTTACCTTTCAGAGCATGGTTATTACATGTATATACAATATATAAGGTATATATTACGTATGTTAATTATATACAACTATATATACTGTATGTGATCATATGTAATACACAATTATATGCTGTATAACACACAGGCATATGTATTATGTTACACATATATAGCAATTTTACACATGTGCACATATAGCATACATGTAGCATGTGGCCAGGCACTGTGGCTGACAGCCGCACTGAGGTGAGCTCCAGGAGGCACGGGTGGTCACGGCGCTCCTCTGCCAGCTCCGGCAGACACGAGGGGCGCCCGCCCGTCCTCCCCGTCAGGGACGCGTGTGTGCGTGGCGACACGGGGAGGCGCGGCCGCGCCGGCCCCGCGCAGGCGGGGCAGCCCCCGGAGCCGCCCGGTGCCCCTGGGGGCTGGCTGGGCGGGCGGAGCGGGGCTCACGGGAGCAGCACGGGAGGCGGCCGCTGAGCTGCTGTGGCTCGTGGCGGGGCTAACCCTGCCGATAGCCATTTGGCTCATCCCAAATGTTTTGTAATAAACATTTTTACTGAGCTGAGAAGACAACAGTGCCTAATAAAACACTGAGTTTGTTTCTCAAGGAAGCTGATGATAAGCACAGAGCAGCCCAAACGCCTACAGACACTGCTTCTCAGCACAGGGGCCACCCAGCATGGCACGGCAGCACAAACCCACGGGAGACACAGCTCCTGGGCGCCAGCTTCCAGGTCGGGGAGTTTTTTAGGAAGATGATGCCCAGAAGCACAAGTTAACACACCACTGAGAAATCTTTACTTGTTGGTTTGCAAGCCATGCCTTAATTTATCAAATAATTGACATAATTTTGCTAATTTTTAATTCTATATCTTCCAACATACATGAGAAGTGAAGCAATAGCTATTACTGTTAGCTGTATAAAAGTTATTTTAAAGAGAAAAACAGTGAGGCAAATAAAAAACTAGTTCATTTTTTCCCCCACCAGAATCATGGAGTCAAAGTAAAGATTTTGGAAGACTATTCTATTGAAGGAGATATATCTGATGTTATTGTGAAAGCTACTGTAATTCAGTTTGAAAACCCAACATTGGAGAAAAGATGATTTGCTTTCACCATGGTAACGCATGGTAGGCGCGAGTTTTGATGGAGCGGTAACAGAACGAGGCCCCTGCGTGCTGAGACGCCTGTGGGGCAGCAGCACTCGGGACCACCGCGCGCCCAGCCCAGGTCTCCCCCACGCTGGGCCGGGCACTGAGCGGGCGGGCAGGCTGCAGCCACGGAGGCCGACGAGGCAACTCAGCCTCAGAGCCCGCGGCAAAGCCCGTGTTAAAACAAACACATCGTGGGGCCTGGGGGCCTGGTCCTCTTGGCTGCCCCGCAGCCTCAATTTTACAAATGGTTGAACCTCTGAAGAAGTGCTTTGTAAATCAACCCTTCAATGGTGCTCCTTCTACTTTTTTCAGGTGAGGGCTCTAAATTTTGGTTATACTTTGTTCAAAATCAGTTGGCAATTTTTAATTAAAGTACTCAGTACATGTGGAAGCAACACATCTTCAGCTTTATGGAATTCCCAGACGGTCCAGTGGTGAGGACTCGGCGCTCTCACTGGTTGTGAAACAAGACTCCACAAGCTGTGCAGCATGGCGGGGTGGGGGTGGGAAGGGTGGGGGTTGAGCGGGAGATGGAACAAAAGAAAAAAATCTTCAGTTCTAAGACTTGTGAACTGCAGTTATTGGGAATACAGCCTGTAAACACGACATGGTGACACTCACTCCCATAAAAGCACAGAGAACCTGAAGCAGCGAGGCCCCATGTGTTGATTCAGCACAGAGCTGAGCACCTGGCCATGATGCCCACCACCTGTGTGAGGAGCCGTTCAATCAAGCCCTCACTTTTAGTTGGATAAACTGATACTCAGCAATGAGTAAGTTAAAACCATCAAGGCCTACAACAAGTCTACAGCTTCCAAATTTGGTGTAAGATTAAAAAAAATCACAGAGATGACTTATTTGATAGATTTCAGTTCATGAAAATATTTGAATACCTCTATACTTACAGAGGTAAAAATCAATACTTGTGAAACACCTGGGCTAAAAAAGTTGGATATTTCAGTAGGAAAAAACCCAGACTTGTTAATAACTCACATTCAGCAGAATCTGCTTTGAGCTTACTAGTATTTCCTCACTTAAAAGGTGGCTCAGTGGTAAAGAATTCACCTGCAATGCAGGAGATGAGGGTTCAATCCCTGATCTGGGAAGATCCCAGCAGAAGGGAATGGCAACCCACTCCAGCATTCTAGCCTGGGAAATCACATGGACAGAGGAGCCTAGTGGACTACACTCCATGGGGGGTCGAAAAGAGTTGAACATGACTTAGCGACTGAGCATACAAAAGCCTACAGGGAGAGCCCATCAAAGGTGCCTACAATTTCAAGTTCATCGACCATAAAATGCAGCTTTGAGGAAGACTCCAGGCCACTGTATGAAAAAATGAAGCTAAGATAACACTGAAAAATGTACGTTCCTCAGAACAATACCAGTGACATGGTATTAGGGCTGCTAAGAAATGAAAAGATGTTAAGACACACAAAGAATATAATGGCTAAAAAAAAAAAAAAAAAAATATAATGGGAAAATATAAATTGCCCNGACTCCAGGCCACTGTATGAAAAAATGAAGCTAAGATAACACTGAAAAATGTACGTTCCTCAGAACAATACCAGTGACATGGTATTAGGGCTGCTAAGAAATGAAAAGATGTTAAGATACTCAAGGAAAATAATGGCTAAAAAAAAAAAAAAAAAGAATATAATGGCTACACAATCAAGATTAAATTGTTTTTCTATTCTTTAATGTACCCAGGTATAATTTTTCTTTTTTTTTAGAAGGAATTTTAGCACTGCAAATAGTTTTTGAATATCAGTAAAGGCCCACCAATATAATAAAATAAATGTGCTAATTGATATATATATACACACACACACACACACTCACATTTAAAAATGATTTAATCTTAACCAATTTGAATGTCCCTTTCACTTCTCCACTGTGTGCCGGCTTGGCCACTCACTTGCCTGGTGCCCTGTTACGGTCACAGGAGAGGAGCGAAGCCACAGGCAGGCCACAGGGTGGGGGTGCTGAGCCCAATCTCACTCCCCACATCCTCAATCTGCTGGTGCTCCCCCCAGGTTAATCCCAACCAGAAGGCAGAGGGCAAGGCTGTGGTCCACACAGGGCAGGCCTAGGGTCAGAGAAGGGGGAGATCTAGGTAAAGGGGTCCAGCCTTGAGGTGGGTCGCAGGTCAGACAGAGGTCTGGGATAAGCCCCAGGAAGCAGGAACCAGGTGCTGGGTCAAGGCTTTCAGGGCAACACTCTGAGGACCTCAGGGATGCTGGGAGATGAAAACTGGTCCCTGGACTGGACACATCAATCACTGAAGGGTCATCCAGACAGGGGACAGGGCCCCTCGACTACACAGCCCAGCAGGGTGTCCAGATCACGGGCCTCCCCCCACCAAGCTCCTCTAAGTCCTGCCTGAGGATAAAGCATGTATAGGGCTGCTTCTCCTCAGGAGGGACAGCAAGGGCTCCCTCATCTGGGTCTCCTCCTGCCTTGCTCCCTACCCACCACTGAAGACGGCAGGCACACAATAAATAGTTTTTCAAGAAATGATGCTGACAAATTATTTCTTTAAGCTTAAAAACAGAATCTTAGGTCAGCTAATGTGTGTGTGCTCAGTCCTTCAGTTGAGTCTGACTCTTTGCCGACTCCATGAACTGCAGCCTGCCAGGTTCCTCTGTCCATGGGATTTTCCAGGCTAGAATATTAGAGTGGGTTGCCATTTTCTCCTCCAGGGGATCTTCCCAACCCAGGGACCAAACCCGGGTCTCTTGTGTCTCCTATATTGGAAACTGGACTCTTTATCACTGTGCCATCTAGGAATATCAGCTAAAACCATATGCAATTAAAAATGTACTATCGGAAAAGTACCAGGTTATCCCCAAGTCCTATTTTAAAACACCGGAAACAACTAAAAAAAAAATCACAGTACCTCTGTGCATCTATGACATTGTTGTCTTAGGTCAGGAGCAACAATGATGGAAAAGGAACAGCTACCTAGGAGTTGGCAACTGCACGGCAAACACCACAGATGAGGGGCACTGTGGCGCCAGCGCCAGCGCCTGAGCCTGAGCTCGCTGCTGCTCCCACCACAAGCCTTCGCCCAGAGGGAACCCAGACGTGGCCCTTTCAGTGATGCGAGCAGTCACCTCAACTCTATCCACGAACATTTTTTAAAAACCACAAAAACTGATTGTGAATGTGAAGCAGAGACCTGCCCAGCGCACCTTCACACACACTCTCCAGGGAGAAGTACGTGGTCTGGCTGATGTAGCCCTCGCGGTCCATCAGCGAGGTCACGCAGCCGATCAGCACCCGGGGGCTGGAGTCCGAGAGCCCCCCACCGTGGCTCTTGCTGTCATCGTCCCATTTATCCGAGACAGCTTCCACCTGCAAGACAGACAAACCACCACTTAGCACATGCCGAGGACCACAAAGAAAGCCAAATACTGGCCAAGACCCCCTATGAACACTGAGGCAAAAATCCCAACGAAACACAGGCAAACCGAATGCAGCTGCATGGTGAGGGGCTGCACATCATGATGGAGAGGGGTTCCTCCCAGAACACAGACATGGCTCAACAAATGCAAACCAGTCACCACCATCCAGCAATCTGGCAGAACAAATGAAAAATTATATAGTTATCTCAGTTGGTGCAGAAAAGGCATCTGATAAAACCCAACACCTTTTTTTAAGATAAAAATACTCAATTAATTAGGAAGACACTGGAACTTCCTCAGTACTATAAAGACCACGTATGACCCAATGCTCCCATGACACTCAGTGGTGAGAGGCTGAAAGCTTTTCCCCAGGATAAGGAAAAAGGCAAGGATGCGCGCTTTCACCACTTCTGTTCAACAGAATACTGAAAGTCCCAGCCAAAGCAACTAGCCAAGAAGAAATTTTAATGTCCAGATTGGAAAGGAAGAAGTAAAACTATCTATTTGAAGTTGACATCAGAAGAGCTGACTCATTGGAAAAGACCTTGATGCTGGGAAAGATTGAATGGAGGAGGAGAAGGGGACGACAGAGGATGAGACGTTTGGACGGCATTACCGACTCAATGGACATGAGTTTGAGCAAGTTCTGGGAGATGAAGGACAGGGAAGCCTGGCATGCTGTGGTCCATGGGATTGCAAAGAGTTGAAGACAACTGAGGGACTGAACAACAACAAATGATCTAATATGGGCTTCCCTGAAGACTTAGATGGTAAAGAATCTGCCTGGAATGCAGGAGACCTGGGTTTGATCCTTGGAGTCAGGAATATCCTCTAGATAAGGGAATGGGGCTACCCATTCCAGGATTCTTGCCTGGAGAATTCCATGGAAAAGAAGCCTGGCGGGCTACTGTCCACAGGGTTGCAAAAAGTCAAATATTACTGAGTGAGATTTTACATCCAGAAAATGCTAAAGAATCCACAAAACACCTCTTTGAGCCAATAAACAAATTCAGCAAAGTTATCGGATACAAAAATCAACATACAAAAATCAGCTATATTTCTATTTACCTGTAATAAATGATTCAAAAAAACTGAGAAAACAATTCCGTTTATGATAGCATCAAAAAAGAATCAAATATGTAAGAATAAATTAAACCCAAAAGGTGAAAGACTTATACACTGAAACTACAAATGTGACTGAAAGAAGTTGAAGTGTTACTCAGTCATGTTCGACTCTTTGCGACCCCATGGACTGGGGCCCGCCAGGCTCCTCCATCTATGGGATTTCCCAGGCAAGAATACTGGAGTAGGTTGCCATTTCCTTCTCCAGGGGATCTTCCTGACTGAGGGATCGGACTCAGGTCTCCCGAACTGCAGGCGGACTCTTTAACATCTGAGCCACCAGGGAAGCCCTCACCAGGAAAGAAGTTAGAGAAGACACAAATAAGTGGAAACACACCCCACGTCCACGGATTAACATGAAGACATCAATACTGCCCAAAGTGATCAATGGAGTCAATGCAATCTTGGTCAAAATCCCAATGATAGTTGTTTTTTTTTTTCCAATGATGGTTTTTGAAGAAACAGAAAAACCCATCCTCAAATTCATATGGAAACAAAATCAATACAATTCTCAAAAATAAACTTGAGAAGGAATCTGCAGAACATAGTGAACAAAAAGACCACAAAGGAAGGCTTGAATAAGTGGACCCAATTTGTAGCTGGTGAACCTCGCCCTGACCCACGTCACTTGACCTCAGTGGATCCATGGACCCCGTGCTGGTCCAGGTGAGTCTGAGCCAAGGAGGAGGAACATCAGGACGGCTCTAATGCTCACCCAGAACAGAGCAGAGCTGGAGAAGCCCCTCCACAGACAGGAAGAGGGAGAGCAGCCTGCCACCCAAGCGTGTGACTGTGCCACGGGGGCCAAGTGAAGGCGTTAGGGCCGATAGGGTCCAGACAGGGCCCCAGGCAGGTGGGGTCCCGGGACCTTCCAACTCAGTAGGAAAGACTGGACCACTCAGCAGACGACTGGCGAGCTACCAGGAAAGAAACATCTGGTTCCTTCTTTCAGTCCACACAGCCAATGAGTTCCAGGGAAATTAAACATTTAAATGTCAATAAACAATTTTTCAGAGGAAAATCTGAGTGCATGTCTGTACTGAGAAGTATGAAAAGCCTCTCTAAGGATTCATACAAAGCCCCAGAGCCACAAGAAACAGACAGACCCATTAACTACATGGAATGAAACTTAATCCCGTAATGTAGAAAGTTTAATTTTAAATAGCTGAATCCAACAAACAAAATGGATAAAGGACACTAAAATAACTCACAGGAAAAAAATGTGAATATTTAGTCTATTTTAAGGCTTAAATGCAAATTAAAACAATAAGATCATTTATCAAAGTGACTGGTGAAGATTTCAAAGATGCCTAAGTCCACACCCTTGCCAACACAGGTGACAAGTCTCTCATCCTGCTCCTGAGTATAATTAGCACAAAGTTCTTGAAGGATAATTTGATGATAACATTAAAATGTTAAACATGCATACCCTCTAACTAACATCAGGAAATTAGAGTGTAATAATACTATTTTTTTTTTAAAGAAAAATTTGCTGCATAGTAGAGTTCATTAATTATCTTTGCTAACTGGATAACAAAGGGTCCAAACCGCTGTCATTTGTAACAACAGTTTTTTAAATGACTAGAAGAATAGATAATGAAGTGGTAACACTGATTCCCTCCACAGCACAAAACTACAGGTCGTCTCTGAGAGGAGGATGGTGGTGCAAAGCTCAAGGCGGAGAAAATTCTTCCTCAACAACTCAGGTCTTACCCGGATTGCTTTCAGTCCATTTGACACCTTATTTTCTTCCACAACTGCAATAACTTCCTGTCCGACATTTAGAAGCACTTTGCTAGTCACAGCCTCATTGGAGAAGTAGATCAAATCATCAATCATGCCATAATCACTGCAGTATCTTGTCACAACACCCTGGACAGTTTTCAACCTGGTGTCACCTGAGACAGGTAAACAGAGAGGTTACATTGACCGCAAAGCAAGTGCACACTACAGTTGAGCCTCCCAGAGAACAGTGGAGCTCAGAGCATCCTTGTGGCTGAGAACCTCCCTGGAGAGCAGAGTGCTCAGAAAGTGGAGTTTTGGAGGCAGACCTCCCAGGTTACTCCAAGGGGCACAGGTGGTAGGCATCATGGGGAGAGCTCTGGCTCTGGAGCCATGCTGCCCGGGTTTGATGCCCAGCTCTTGCCCTGCCATCTGGGGAACCCTGGGCTAGGTCTGTGCCTGTCCTCATCTGTAAAATGGAGACAGTTACAGTCCAAGAGAGCTGTGTGAAGGTTATCACACAACAGAATGTGCAGAGCACAGACCTCTGCGTGGCTGGCACAGGCTGGGGGCTGCTTTAGAGCAGCAGTGGGGGAGTCACTACTGCGCACTCTCATCACCACTACTGTCTTTGTCATCACCAATACTACCAGCAGCAGGGGTAGGAGATTCAGTATTATTTCATCATACCAGGAATGGCTTCCTAGATGGCCCAATGGTAGAAGAAACTATCAGCAATGCCAGAGACCCAGGTTCAATTCCTTCTCAGGAACATCCCCTGGAGCAGGAAATGGCAAGCCACTCTAGTATTCTTGCCTGGAGAATCCCATGGACAGAGGAGCCTGTGGGCTATAGCCCACTGGGTTGCAAGGAGTGGGACACAACTGAGCACTCAATCCTAGGCTGGCACTACTGGAAGATTCTGGGCCTGGGGGGCAAGTCCAGGGCAGAGCTGGCCTGCCCTCATCCACTCAGAGACCTGGGCCTACAACTCCTGCTCCTTCTCAGACCCAGAAGACACCCGCGTGTCTCCCGGCTCGGCTGGAAGCCCACTGAGGCCGAGCTGTAATCCTATTGCTGCTTGAGGGGCTGCACTGACAGACAAGGTCTGGATGGGTGAAGCGATCTGCTCCAGGCCGCAGTTTGCTGAAGAGGCCAGAATGCCGGCGACGGACGGCTAATAACACGTTGCGACAAGTAGTTCCATGACTGACGTTCTGGCTTCTCTAGCGAAGAATTTCCTGGTTTTGGAGGTTACAGAAAGCAACTAGAGACTCACTACCCAGCGCTCAAGTCTCGGACAGAAGGAGGGGTTGGGAGAAAATGCCAAGAACCTTGGGGAACGTGTAATTCCGGGTGCCAGAATCACAAGTACTGCCTGGACTTCAGGAACTGGGTTCGAAAACAATTTCAAGAAGAGCAAGACCCCACGGGACTAAAAGGACAGTTTAGGACAGCCGGGGTCACCCTTTCCAGAGCCGTCGACACACCCAACTGCTGGGGCACGGACAGAGAAAGAACGGGAACCTGTCCAGAGGGACTGGTGTCAGGGCGCTCGCAGCGCGCGAAAAAACTAAACCAGGAGACACAGATCCTACGCTGGGAAGAGATCGCCATGAGAGATACGCCTCAGCTTCGAGGGAAAAGACAATATAAAGGTGACGCCGGGGTCTCTCGGACCCTGGTCTGGTCAAGCCAACGCCCTGGGACCCGGCTCGGGCCACTCCCCACCCCCACCCTCAGTGCAGGCGCGGGAACCAGGCTTCGCGAGCCTCGGGGGCTACTACTAGGTCACCAGCCGCCCCCGCCCCGGCAGTGTCCAGTGAGGCCGGGCCGTCTCAGGGGCCGCGCGGCCCGCCCTCCCCGCGAGGCACCTTCCACGAGCTCGGGCCCCAGAGGCCTGGTCTCCTCCTCTGGGCAGTCCGCCTTCCTCCAGAAGAAGGAAACCACCTTGGCCGCGAGGCGCAGCATGGCCTGGGCTCCCAGCCTCAGCGCCGCAGCCTGAGGAGCCCGCACGCGGCACGCCGCTCCTGTCGCCAATGGGCTGCCGCGCTCGCGCCAGCGCGCCCTGGAGCTTGGCCAATAGGGTTGCGGCGCGTGCGCCCAGCCGGTGCAGTTCAGCCAATGGGTGTGCCGCACGCGGAGACTTAGCCGCGAGTGGTGGGCGGTTGCGACCGTTAGTGCGGCCTGTGGGAGTGACGTCACGCCTGTGCTGGTGGGCGGGACCTGGAGCAGGTTGGCCGGACTTCGTGCAGGCAAGCTGGGTAGGTGTGTTTGCCTCCTTCTGGGCGGCAGCCGGCTGAACGTTTGGCTGCTCGGTGTTGTTAGGTGTAGCTTTGGCAAATGTTCCTGTGGCTCAGATGGTAAAGCGTCTGCCCGCAATGCGGGAGACCCGGGTTCGATCCCTGGGTCGGGAAGATGCCCTGGAGAAGGAAATGGCAACCCACTCCAGTACTCTTGCCTGGAAAATGCCATGGACAGAGGAGCCTGGTAGGCTATAGTCCATGGGGTCGCGAACAGTCGGACACGACTGAGCGACTTCACTTCACTGTATCAAGTTGGAGAAGTACCCTCTGCCCACTTTTCTGAGAGTTGTTACAGTGCTTGGCTGTGGTTTTCTCAGGTGATTTTCCTGTGTCTAGTGAAATGACGTCTTGTTTTTTCTATTTTAGCGTGTTAATGAGGATGAATTACATTGATTGAATTTTCAAATGTTAAGAAAGAAAGTGAAGTCGCTCAGTCGTGTCCAACTGTTCGCGACCCCATGGACTGTAGCCCACCAGGCTCCTCTGTCCATGGCATTTTCCAGGCAAGAGTACTGGAGTGGGTTGCCATTTCCTTCTCCAGGGGATCTTCCCAACCCAGGGATCAAACCCAGGTCTCCCGCACTGCGGGCAGACGCGCTACCATCTGAGAAATGTTAAACCACCCTGCATTCCAGGGAAGCTCAACTTCCCAGGTCATGATGTATTATCTGTTTTGTATATTGATCCAGCTTGGTAACATTTGGTCAAGGGTGGTATGTTTGTGCCTGAGTGATGAGGAATGTTTCATTTATTGTGGTGTGGGGCAGTCCTCCGGGCTTATACCTGACTTGGCTTGAAATCTGTGCTAACTGGAACAGCCTGCCTCGTGGCCTATCAAACACATACATCTGTTTTAACAAATTCAACTTTTATATTCGTTAAAGGGCTGTTACCAATATTCAGCAATATTGCATAAACTTTGGTAATTTTAAGGGATTTGTCCATTTTAGCCAACGTGTCAAATTGTTGGCATAGATTGTTCATAGTATTTCCTTACTATCCTTTTAATGTCTCTGTGATCCACTATGATGAACCATCTTTCATTCCTGACTTTGGTAATGAATGTCTGTCGTCTTGTCTTCATCAGTCTAGCTACATGTTTATCAATTTTATTTATCTTTTAAAAAAATACCTTTTGGTTTCATTGACTTTTTTCTATTCATTATTTCCTGCCTTCTCTTCCTCCTCCTCCTCCTTCTCCCCCTTCCACTCCTCTTCTTCTTCCTCCCCCTTCTTCTAGTTTGATTTGTGCTTTTCTAACTTTTTAAGCTGGAAAATTAGATAATGAATTTTGGAATGGAACTTTCTTCATTTTTAACATAAGCACTTAAGACCATATATTACTCTAAGCACCAATTAGTTGCATATACAATTTTTTTTAAAGTTTTTGTTTATTTTTGGCTGAGCTGGGTCTTTGTTGATTTGCGTGGGCTTTGTCTAGCTGTGGCGAGCAGGCCTGTGGCTGAGTCGTTCCGTGGACAGAACTCCTGATCTCTGTCTTCTATCTCAGGTGAGGCAGCTGTACTTGTCAGGCCAGGAAGCTTCCAGTGCCCCGGAATCCTGCTCCCCTTATCTCGCGTCATTCAGACTGCAGGTCAGCTTGACTTTTCAGTCTGTCGGGAATCTGGTGGCTTCTCACCACCCCCGCGGCTCCCCCTCCATCCCACCAACGCCTGCTCTCACGGGCTGTGCTGTGACCTGTGCTCCACGCAGCTGAATGCTCGCGCTCCTGCCCTGCAAGAGCATCTCGCAGTCAAAGCCACAGCCGGCTCCGCGTCCTCAGGCGCCTCGTGCCTGGGCGCCTCGCCTGCCCCCTGCCTCGCGGGGTCCCTGTGCCCACCGGCCTCCAGCCTTGCCACCTCAGTGCCTCTGCACCTGGGGTGCTGGTGCTCCCCTGCCCTCCTTGCCCCCCAGCGAGGCCCACCCCAACTCCCCCAAGTAGCCCCCACGCCCTCCCTGGACTTATTTGCCATCACAGAGGAAGCCAGGTGCGTCACCGTAGAAGACACCCGTTTAGCCCCTGTGTGCCTGTCCCCCGTCGGGCTGTGGCCTCCACATGGGAAGGGCCGTGGCCTGTCCCGCCCATCCCACAAGTGTGCGCTGGACAGCGGGGTGAATGTTGATGCACGAGCAGGACCTGGGCAGCACAGAGGGAGAGGCGGCACTTTAGGAACAGAGTCCTTTCGAGGGGTGGGGCTTGTTCTAGAGACTGGTGTTGCTGCCGGAGATGAGGAAGTTCTTCCCAGGATGCATGGGAGGCGTTTGTCCCACCATCTCTAATTCCAGACTGCTTATTTGTGTTTCTTAGAGAACAACTTGGGAAATGCACAGACGTGGTGAAACCTGCATAATGTGCTCTTTTTCAAACAAAGAGAGAAGCGAAGAGTTCCACCGGTTGACAATCTCCCTGTTAGTTGCACTTAATTGCTTTAAAAGGCAGTCACTAAAGAGGTTTGGGAGGTTTTCAATGTTTAAAATCCCTTCTTGACCTCACAATTTGTGAAAATTAATTCTAATACTTTTTGATTGGTTGAAGAGCTAAGACCCTGAGCATCCTGTGATGGGAAGCTGAAGCCTCTGCTTGGGCGTGATGTGGGCTTGTGGTCTGAGCAGCCAGCTCTGTGAAAGGCTTCAGCTCCTGAGAACACAAGAGACTGACGTTGTGATCATGGGGCACCGGAATGTCTGCACCAACCGACCTGGGGGCTCGTCTTCTGATGTCAGGTCTTTTTGCCTTTATACTGTTCATGGGTTCTCAAGGCAAAAGTATGATGTGGTTTGCTGTTTCCTCCTCTAGTGGACCACGTTTTGTCAGAACTCTCCACCATGACTTGTCTGTCTTGGGTGGCCCTGCATGGCATGGCTCATCGCTTCATTGAGTTACACAAGGCTGTGACCCATGTGATTGTTTAGGTTCATTTTCTGTGACTGTGGTTTTCGTTCTGGAGCGCACTGACTGTGTGTGAAGTTCACAAGCAATGGCAAATAGGGAAGGCTGAATGACAGTGAGGAGTATCGATACTTTGCAACTTCTGACCAGGTTGATGACCCTGACGCTGGGAAAGATTGAGAGCAGGAGGAGAAGGGGGCCACAGAGGATGAGATGGTTGGATGGCATCACTGACTCAATGGACATGAGTTTGAGCAAACTCCTTGAGATAGGGAAGGACAGGGAAGCCTGGCGTGCTGCAGTCCATGGGGTCGCAGAGAGTCGGACACGACTGAGCCACGGAGGAGTAATAAGCAGAGGCTGGGCAAAATGCACACCCGTCCCTTCCCTTCCGTGCTGAGTGGAAATAGCGGGCATAGCGGGACCCTCACGGCACACAGGAACCCGTGGGTCAGAATCCCAAACAGTTTAAGGGCCAGGCCAGTCACGCAGCTCGCAAATGGTGTGTGAGCTTGTGAAGGGCCTTCCTTGTCTGATGGCAGGGATGGAAAAGGGCTTCCAGAAAGGATGGAGAGGAAGACTTTGGATAAAAGCATGCTTGTTTCCAAAAGAGTCAAACACTGGGCTGTCTGGCCTTCTAGGATCCTGAGCTTGGTACAGTGCTGCGCTCGGGCACGCTCTTTGTCCTGAGAGGACCACTCTGGTGCTCACAACCTGTCTGCCACAAGTGGACCAGCAGAGACCCCCCTGCTCTTGGCGGGTTGGCACAGGATGGAGTGGGACTCTGGGCCCGCAGTTACACAACCACTGAGAACCTTCCAGGATCCCTCGCTTCACGCCCTCATTGAAATTCAGGAAGCAGTCCCGCTTCCCTGGCTTAAGTGCAGTTTTGCTGGGCTTTTGTTCCGTCTGTGAATAGTTCTCACTGGACGCCAAGGCACAGTGACTCAGTAACAGGAGCCCGTCACCGAGAGACCGGTGCTCCCGCCGCCAGAATCACCACGGAGGTAAGTGCGTGAACAGCTGGGAACCCTTCGGGTGGGGTACATCTGTGGCCTCTTGTCTGGTCACCACCCTGGACCTGGGGTAACCGACACATCAAGGGATTTGTGGCTGCAGGTGCCAGTGGACAGTGAGATGTGGGGGGGGCACCGAGGGAGCCCCAGTTCAGCAAGGCACCGAAGTCCCTCCATGAATCTGGACTGGTCAGGGTGGTTTTACTGGGAGAGTGATTCTGTTCACTTGTGAAATTAAGTGCTCATTTTATTCTTCAAATTCACAGTACTTCCATACGCATGATATTTCTTTTATTGAAAACAAATATTTAAGACAATTTTAATAGTTTTTAATTTGTCTCTGGCTGTGCTGGGTGTCTGCTGCTGCACGGGCTTTTTCCTAGCTGTGGCACGTGGGGTCTACTCTGGAGTTGTGGTGTGTGGGCTTCGTTGCCCTGATTGCCCTTGTTGGGGCGCACAGGCTCCGTGGGTGTGGCGCATGCGCATCACTGCCCTCG